TTTTGTTGCTGTTGTTGTTGTTTGTTTTTTGTTGGTGGTTTTTTTTGTTTTGTTTTGTTTTTGGTTTGGTTTGGTTTGGTTTGATTTGGTTTGGTTTGGTAAGGGGAGAACATACCTGCAAGGAAAAAAAAATCTCATTAAAAAGCCACTAGAAAGAAATCCACTGCTCCAAATGTTTTCTTTGCACTGATGTTTCTTCAGGAAATCCACAAGCACAAAAGTCCAAGAATAACTCAGGGCTGAAGGAGCTCAAAGTTCATTGGTTATTAGTTAGTTTATATGTCACTTGATTGAAAGTTGCTTAGATAAGAAATAGTTCTGCATACAGTGACCTGAGTAATTAGCCTATGACTAGATCTTCTTCCCATTAATTCTTATAGTCTTGTTTTATTTTCAGAATGTCCAGGAATGGGCAGGTTATTTGAACTTGGGTTTCTATTTCACGCTCAAGGCTGTTTGAGTGGACGTGTTATGTTTGCTCTTGAGGAAGTTTCTGGAGAGTTTCTCCCACAGTCTTTACATCTGATGCTATTTGTGGAGAATGGGAAGGAGCAGAGACAAAGCAAACAAAGCACATTGTTGCATTCCTCCCTTTCAAAGAGAGGTCAGCATCCACGAGGAAAATGCCTCTTTATAAACACAGTCATTCATTGCGCAGATTGTTGTCTTTGCTTCTTTATACATGAAGGAAGCTTAATCCCCAAAGGGAGGCAGTTAGGGTTAGAAGGGGCTGTAGGATGAGGCTCCTTGAAGATGACAGTGGTGTTATAAGACAAAGGGTAAAATCCTGACCTGGCATACTGACCCCTTTTCCCTTGACCCCATGATGCACTCCACCATGTTAAATGCAATGCAAGACCCTCACCAGATGGTATTCTCTTGGACTTCCCAACCTCAAAATAAAATTCCATTCTTTACAAATTACCCAGTCTTGGGTGTTTTGTTACAGCAACAGGAAATGGACTACAATGCAGCCATTACCGTTAGGACTGTGCAGGAAAAAAATGAATGCGATAGCACTTCGGGTGATCGCTATGTGCAGCACAGCCATTATTTTTTATAAACAAATTCAGAGAGCAATAATCCTAGGACTGTTGCCTGGTGTTCTTAGGCGCTGAGTGCAATGCACAGCATTGCATTGAATGGGTGGGTTGGTACATGCCAATAAATCTCAGCACTCAGAAGGAAGAGGCAAGAAGAGCAGAAATTCAAGGTCATCTTCAGCACAGCCATGTCTGAGGCCAACCTTGACAAATGAAACCCCATCTCAAAAGGACATAAATAACCCAAACAGTTCCTTACATCTTTGTAACCTGCCAATCGCCAACACGTGGATCCTTGCTGTGGTCTCAGAAGCATAAGATTAGGGGTCACTGCAGTGGGATCTGCCATGCTGTCGTCTCTGTTTCCTAGTGATATTTAACAACAGAAAGAAGTCCTGCTGTTGAGGTCCTCTCCTAGGTGACCAGCACGTAGACCCCATATCCTTGACTTCTCCATCTTTCTGATAGTTAATCCAAGAAAAGCAGATTCTCTTCACTATTCTCCCCAAACTAGCACCCTAGCCCTGTCACCCTGTCAGGCTCAAGCAGAGACCGGCACAGGCCCTGGAGTGACAGCTCTCTTTCAGGAGATTTGTGGGCTGGAAAAGGCCAGCCCAAGCCATAAACATTTGAGAGGAGGTAGGAGGCATTGACGCTGGGAGCCTGTGCCAGCTGGGAAACCTAGCTTTAGAGAGACCAGATAATAAGACATGCCGTGGGCAGATTAACTGAGGGTTGTTACAACGGCATCCTCTTAAGTCTTACACAAAGTTCATAAAGGACATGTGGCAGAACTGAGTCTGGAGGTGTTAGTAGAATTAGTTAATGCAGGCTGAGGACATCTGACCAGCGGGAAGTGGAGCTAAACCAAGCCCTCTTTCCTCACCAAAGCTTGTCCACCTGGCTATGGGACTATCAGACTTACACACTTACACTTACACTTACACACACACACACACACACACACACACACACACACACACACACACGGGGCTATGGAAGTAGGCTGGACAATAGTTACCTATGAGCAGAGTCAAATCCAAATGTTGCCTTGGATCAGTCATGAGAGCTGGCCTGGGACTCGCTGCTCCAAGCCATGTTCTAGAGCGCTACAAAAAGGTTAATGGCTATGAATACCCTATGGCATGGGAAGCTTCAGGAGCAGACATGATTCAGCAGATGTCTGGACCCCCTTAGTTCTTTTCCCATAGTGGCATGGCTACATTGTGAATGAAGGCCCATCACCACTGAAAAAGCAGGGAAATAACAGCCATGCCAGGCTAGTTCCTACCACATTAACAAATATTCCAAAATCAGCAGTTCTCAAAGCTGGAGAAAAGGACGGGTACCCTGATATACAAGCCAAAGTTTCAACTATTAAAACTTTCTGCAAAGCAACTTGGCAACAGATAACAAAAAGCCTCAGAAATATTAAAATCACTTAGCTCAGTAATTACTATAATTAGCACTTGTAGGACTTGCTCCAAAAGAAGTGAGATGAATATAAAGATCTCCTTTGCACATATAGAAAGAAAATTTTAAGTGGCCAATTGTCTAACATTAGTACAAAAAAAAAAGTTTATTAGTAGCTACTATTTAGGTATTTATAGGTATGGAAATTGTGTCAACAGAGAACTTTTAAAGCCTGAAATAATATCTACATAAACCAATGTCATGACTGCTCTGTGGCATGGTTGGGGAGGAAGGTTTTTATTGTGGATATAAGGGAAAGAACAGCCAGAGGCATCTGGAAGAATGCAGCACAGAGAGAGAAGGCAGTAGAGTGAGGCGTGGCCATGAGAGACGCAGAAGAGAGAGAGGAGAGGTGGGGAGAGTGAGAAATGAAGACAAAGGATAGCAAGCAAAAGAGAAAGGGCATAAGGGAAACAGCTGGGCTGTAAGGGAAATGAGCAGCTGCGGGAGGTAGGCCTATGAGGTGGAGAAGTTTAGAAGAGGGGCCAGAAGAGCTGAGAGGAGCCAGGATGGCAGCGTGAACTTTGAAATGTGTGACAGGTACTTGTGCTACTGAAGGAACCCAGAGGCCAGCATGCGCTTTGGTGTGCCATAGACACTGCAGATAGACACCACTTGTTCCTTCTGCCAATGAGAAGGAACTGGCTCCTTTTGGTAGAGGGCAACTGGCTTCACAAACTCCTGAGAACTGCTGGCTTTTGTCTAACTTTGAGAATTTGAGAAAATGGAGCTTCCTTGGACCTGATAATACCAAGTAAAAAGGAACCATGGTATCTGAAGGATACATACAAGGAGAGACAGAAGAAACATTCCAAACTGCAAATGGTGGCTTATCCTGGGAGTCGGGGACCGTACATTTATTTATTTATTATTTATAGGGAACTGTACATTTCTTCTTTACAATTTTATTCTCGCAATAGATATTACTCTTCTAATCTAATGAGGAAGAGGCCTTTTTAGGCCTGTCGGGGGTGGTCTGTGGTGGGTGAAGCATGTGGCCCACGTAGCTCACTAGGACCCAGCTCTGGCAGAGGGGTTGACCAGTGCTCAGTTCTGAGCAGTCAGTGTAGACACCCACTCCTCCCGTTTAAATGAGGACCCTGGTTCAAGGTACGTGGGATGGGCCTATATCCTCAACACAGTGGTGGATGGCAGAGATGCCACCCAGCCACGGCCACAGCTTAACGGGCCCCATACCTGGAGCATCAGGTTTGGTAGGCTGGGAGGGCCTCACTGACCTGCAGTCTAACTCTCAGGTAATGCTGGTGGCACTGATCCACAGACCACACGTTCTGAGACACCAGAACGATTGCTGGACCTCACAGCCAGTTAGTAACCTACCCTGAAGTCACTTCAGACTGCTATCCTGCTGCATACTCCAACTATTTGTTTAACCTGCTTTTAAAAGAACAATGTGGCAATCAAACTTGCCTGGCTTGACGCTCCCCTGCAATCAGCTTTTACGCCGAAGCTAATGCACAGCTGTAACCTTAAATTACGGTCTCTTCCACACCCCTGATGCATATGTATCACTCGCCGAAAGCAGTAAGTACAGAAGTTGAAAGCGGATCCCTAAACTCCACCATAAAGGTTGAAAGTGGCCATTTATGGTTATTGGTTGGTAAACAATGATGTCTGCTCTCTAGTCAGTTGGAATCAATTGCAGCCGGTGACTTAACCTCTTATAAAACTCGGTTAAAGCTTTCTATAAAGTGTCCTGTTTCTTCCCCATGTGATGCTTTCTGTGCTGTCCAATAAAAATAGAGAAAAGCCTTTTGTGAGGGACAGACTGACAGCACTTCCACATAGCTCATAACACAGACAGACATAAGAACACGGAAGTGGAGGAACAAACATATTCAGAAGGCTGTCACAGATTCAGACTCATAGGACAGACAGAGGATAAAGACACAGGGAACACGGAGGAAGAGAATTCAAATCTGGACTCACTCCTGGTGCAATGACTCCCAGGGGAAGCACTTTTCTGTCTCTCCTTACTGAATCATCTATACTTTACTGGTGACTCAGGATTAGTCACTAGTGCATATAACCCAAGCAGCACTGGAATCCTTAGTTCCTTGTTCCTCAAAAAGTAGTTTAAGAACCAGCAGGTGTCATCCGGAGTCCTGCCAGAAATGCAGATGTCAAGACCCCAACTTCAGAATCAGAGCCTGTGCTGTGACTGGATGCGTAGGTGATGTGCTGTATAGTTCTTCTTGGGATTCTTTAATCGAGAAGATACTCCCAACAAGCCTAGTAGGCCTTCCCAGAAAAATAATTCAACCGAAACAATCAGGCACCCTGCCCTTCCCAGCTCTTGGCTTCGGAGTTAGTTACTTCCTCGTTCCCCATGATACATGGCTCGAAGTCATGATCAGGGGGCTGATTACGGATTAGCTGTTCACAGGAGACTGCTTTTGCTGTCCGTTCACCGCCTTGAGCAGGGCCGACCATCTCCTGCAGGGGAACACCAACTGCGTTGCCATGGAGCAAACTTGAGACTCTTACATCAATTCCTTAAATCAGAACTCCTTGCCCAGACGAGTTGAGGTGACCGATGGGAGCTATTTTTCAGGTGGCAAAGAAAGGGATGGTATCTGAGAAGGATTCTGGGATCTGGAGACACATCATTTGCCAAGTTCCTAAGAAGTGTGGGCTTGCTTATCACTCCTGGATGCAAGACTTTGGGAATGGGAGTAGGCGTGGGAGTCATCTTCTCTCCAGAATATGTCATGCTAGGCTAAGGAGAATCAGGTCTTATTCTAGAGGAATCATCTGCCTGTGAAAAAAACAAAAAAGAAAAAACAAAACAACAATAAACCTGCACAACAACAACAACAAACCTGTATGTTTCTCTTTAACATACCATAACTTAAAGGGGGAAAGAAACCTCTCTCCCAAGAAGGTAGCATATTGGAAAAGAGAGAAAGAATGTTCTGTTTATGGAAGACATATATTTACTTGCTAAAGTATTTTCCTTAGCCCTGGGCAGAATAAAATATAGCACCTAGCAATGTGTTCTTATATTTCTGCTGTCTGAAAGGTTGCTTTACTTATTTTTTAATTTTTTTTTATTTGACAGGAGGCTGGGAAAGGAGGGAGCTATTCACCAATATTGCCTACAAAGAGGGGAGATGTTATTTTTGAGCAGTGAATATTTTTCACTCTGCTGAGAAATTACTGCAATTTGACACATGAAATCTAAGGCATGGATAAGTGTGAGCTTGAAAAATTGTCTTTTGGTGGCTTGATGATAACCAAAAAAAAGAAAGAAAAGAAAAAAAAAATCATGTCAATAATGCTCCAGGCATTTCCTATGGTTAGCAAGCACTACCCTGTGCCTCAGATGGCCATCTAGCAGTTTCTCTGCATTGTTAGAACAGGGGAAATAGGGCTCACTGCTGGAAATGACAGGGGTGGCCATGCTGCCCACTGGGCAAGGTGAATCATGATGGCTGCTTGTGGGAAAAGAACCATTTCAAATATTTTTAACTTTAAAGTGAATTACATATTCTGACATACTGAAGACTCTGCCTCCATAAAAGATGCCGAATTACTCAATTAGTGCTCTTTGTCTTTGCTCTGTATTAAGAGGCCTCCGTTTTGTAGGTCATTTTCGTCTCCTTTTGTCCAGTGCCATGTAAGGAGGCCAGGTTGTCAGCTGGACCTTGACGGGTGGGAAAGCAATAGGAGGTGGGAATTTTCCAGACACGGGCCTGCAAAGCCGACTGCACAATCCTGTGCCTAGAACAAGGTTCTCCTGACGGTGTTTACAGCAGCCTGCAAAGCTCTTTCCCCATGCTCGTGCTATGGCCTCAACTCCATGCCTGTTGGGGATGAGCAGAGAGGAAATGGTAAACTTCTCTCTTGTGCTGGATCTGGTTGTTAAGTGTTCCCATGCAAGAGTAAAAGCCAATTTTAGAACTTTGGAAAGGACTGCAGAGCCACAGACATGGTCAGAGCAGCTCAATTGTGGGGATGCTTTGTCTGGTTTTGTTTTTTTTTTTGGGGGGGGGATGTTTTGGTTTTGTTTTGTTTTTTGAAACAAAAAAAAATAGCCATCTCACAATTTAAGGAGACTGTATGGAAAATAAACAGACCATGTTCTGAATGACTCTCATATCTACAGTGGAGTCAGTTAGGAAATGCTGAAGCAAGAGAGCCAATAGGGTCGAAGGAGAGGTCATGGAAGCAGGTGAAGAAGGAGGCAGGCAGAACCACAGAACTGGAGAGCTTCTGTGTGGGCGTCAAAGCTCGGAGCACAGGTGCAGTGACTCTCACCTGCATCTCCACAGTGGAGGAGACTCTGCTGGCGAGTTGGGGATGCTGAGGCCCCTGATGGACAATCTCTGGCCTTGAAATCGAGGGATGAGCCACAGTAGGTGCCAAGGCTGGTGGGTGCGCTCATTTTTAAACCCTACTTTATTTGGGGTTCCTTAAAGCCTCCCCTTTCTAACCCCCCATCTCTAGGTAGAAGAGATAAGGTTAGTGGGGAGAGGGGGCGCAGACCCCTTTACTTCTCCCAGCTGTTTAGGGTCAATGGGTTCTTGGGGAGGAAGGTATACCAGTCTCCATCCCAGCAAGCAGTGTCCTCCAAGCCACGGCGCCACAGAGCGTCTCTCTCCATCTGTCTGCTCTAAACCAACCGCCACTCACCACACACCGCCCCCACACCTTCCCATTCTGGGCTTTCCTATTTATATCCCTCAGAGTCCTGGACCACGCCCCTCTCTGTGCTGCACGAGGCAGGCCATTACCACCTGGTAAAGACCACACTCCCCGCCAGACAATTATCAGCTGTGGGCAAACTAAAGCCCAGACTAAAATCCCAAAATTGGGATTAAAACAAAAACATCTTTACATAACGCAACTGAGTTTTCAAAGAAACAGAAACTCCCATGACACTGGTGCCAGAGCAGACAAGCTGACTAACCCCTAACTAACCCCAACGCTGATCCAAAAACATATCTGATGACTTCTTATCTACAGAACGATGGGAGCTGGGGCTGGAGACAGGGTTCTATGGTTAAGAGCACAGGCTGCTCTTAGGTCAGAGGTGTGGTTTTCAGCTCTCACACTGTGGTCCCCACCCTCTGTCACTCCAGTTCCAAGGCATCCGATGCCATCTTCTGTCCTCCTTAGAAACTGTATAGCACAGGGTGCATAGACATGCATGCAGGCAAAACACCCATACACCTAAAATAAGAAAACAAATCAATAACGTTTAAGCCATGGACGCAGCATCACCAAACAGTAGTTCTAGACAGATGCGAAGGAAACTGTGGTAACAGTAAGATCCTGTCAGTGGCTTCTCCATTCTAACCATAGCCCCAGGGGCTCCCGTCTCTGGGTATAGACATACATTCTCCCGCTCTCCCAGAACACAAATGAAGAATCTGAAGCATGAATTCCCTGGGAGAGAAGGAATGAAAATATCAGTGTTGCTCTTCAGGATTCTGGGAAAGCATTTCTGAGATCAGAATTAACTGGGAAGGTAAGAGGCTTCTGGAATGTTCCCCAGAGCCCACATCCCCAGGCCATGCCTACTGATGTAGTCCAAGCTGTGAGCCTGCTCTGATGTGCGAGGCGCAATCCCTGCCTTTGTCTTCTCCATGAGCCCTTCTTCCCAGCTGAGGCCCAGGATGTTCTCATCTAAAGCTGTGCTTCTGTTAGCTCAGGTTTGGAGCTTAGGTGATGGTGAGCGCCTCTGGCAAACAGAACCTCTGAGAGGACAGGCTTTCTGAGGAAGCTGCAGCTGACAGGTGATTGCCGACACACACACACACACACACACACACACACACACACACACACACAAACCACCTCCATCCCCGCCCCCGCCCCAGGCAACAGGCCTGCCCAGAACCCAATGCCCCTGCTTTTCTCTCCACCATTGTCTGTGCATCATGGCCCAGCCTCCCCAGGAAGCAGGGACAGAAACTGTCCTAACACACAGGACTCTATATGAACAGCCAGAAGACTTACCTGCTGGCTCAGGGCTTGTGGACTGTGTCCCTGCCCCTCAGATTCAAAGACCTGCCATCATGATATGAAAGTGACAGGAAGTGGAACCCGCTCAGCTCTAAAGAGGACTCTCTCTCTCTCTCTCTCTCTCTCTCTCTCTCTCCTCTCTCTCTCTGGAGGCTCAAGTGTGAGATAAATGCACTGGGGACCAGGAAGCCCCAGGGTGGCCAGAAAGCAGGAAGAGCCGGCACATCCACAAATTTGGAGTTCTGGCAACTGGGCTTGTGAGGGGCGCAGCTGGAGCGCATGATGGAAGGGCTCCCTTGCTTCAATTTCACCCTCGCTTGCTGCCAGGTGGCTAACCTTTCAAGGTCTCTGCCTAACCATCTGTGACTGCTTAGGCAACTCACCAAGCCGCTGATGGGCACCCAGTGCTTTAATACTGCCAAGGGCAGAGTTCCCAGCGCCAGTCAGGATGATTCACCACGTAGAGCTTAAGGGTGAAGCAGCAGTCACACAGCTGCTTTGACCTCGGCCTGGTTCGGATTTCAGTGCAAAAGGCTGAAGGGTTAGGGAGAGCAGAGGGCAGCCCTGGGCCAGGCCAGGCAGAGCTGGACACTCGCTGCATTGCTTCTTTCTCTCTGCATTCATTTGCTGATTAGCGTTCTGTCTGTTAAGGGTGGCCCAGAGGGTCAGCTTAATCAAAGTGGGGAACACCCCTCTTTAAATTGCAATCACAAGCATTATTTGTTTTTATATTAATCAATCACCATTGACTACCCTTACTATTTTTATACCATTTTGGTGAATGGAACAAACAAATTTTTTTCAAAGCCTTGCAGGGCCTTGCCCCATGCGACAAGGCGGCCATGTCCCTCAGGTTGTGAGGAAGGGAGGAAGGAGGGCTGGCTGTGTGGTGGGTATCAAAACTGAACAGGCATTTTCCGAATAAAGCAACACGTGACTTACGACTCCAAGCTAAAAGCTGGTGCTTTTTCGTAAGTGCGTCGGCAACAGGGCTCACTCAGCCTTGTCAGCACTGCATTTGGGATTTCTCGAGGAACGCTTCCTAGTAAAGTGTGGCCCTTCTGTCTACTGGGTGTGTGTGGTGTGCCACTGAGTTCAGTCCGGCCACAGGGCAGCTGTGTAGGCACTAGGGAGGCACCCACAGGTGCCCGGTTTCAACGTGTCACATTTTTCCTTAGCATGGCAGAAGGCAGATGTGGGTCACAGCTAGACTTAGGCCTGTGGTGCTCATTCACACCAGTAGGACATGCTGAAGAGGCGGAGACAGGAGTTTGAGGACAACGGCAGTGCCTTTTTGGCTGGAGAAATGGCTCCGTGGTTAAGAGCACCTGCTCCTCTTCCCGGGTTCCCAAGTTCAGTTCCTGGCATCCACTTTGGGTGGCTTACAATCACCTGTAACTCCAGCTCCAGGAAATCTGAGTCTTTTCTGTGGCCTCTTCAGGTACCTTTGCACATATACACATAGCTTTAAAAAATAAAAGAAAAAGCTTCACATTTTGAACAAAAGAAACAAGTCAGTCAGAGGAAGATTTAAACACCATCTAACCTAAGACGTCCTAAACAACACGGTGTGTGGAAGGGACTGGTGCCAAGGAAAATCACCTTTGCATGTAATCTACCATGTACCCTCCCATCTACTTGAAATCATTCCTAGATTATAATATCTAGCGGAATATAAATGTTATGTAAATGGTTGGTCTGGACAAGTTCAGTACTGACTTGTTGTTGTTGTTGTTTAGGACAATCTAACTACATAGCCCAGGTTGGCCTTGACCTCACTATCCTCCTGAATCAGGTTTTTTTTTTCTCCAAATATTTCTGACCATGGCTGTTTCCGTCTGAAGGCACAGAAACTGCAGGTAAGGAGGGCCAGCCATTTTGTTAGCATCTTCTTCTATGTTATTAGGAATCTACAAGACGTAGTGGGGAGAAGTGAACATTTTAATCTTAAACAGGGCTCTGAGCATCAGGAAGGTTTGCTTTTGGTGTTAAGCCTTGCCATCGTTCCTGTCATCAAGGGTGGGAATACTGACAGGGAAGAAGGCAGGCACATGTGCATGCAGACACGGCAGCTTTTCCAGGCTCTGACTACTTCCCTCTACTGCCTGCGGTTTCCTCCAGAAGCCCACTTCCCAGCCCCAGATCTCAGATCCTGCAGCTTCCTGAAGCCCAATATCAGATGTCTCTGTGTCTAATTCCACAGCCTGGGTAAAGTACTTATAAAACGTAGCCACTGCCACCAGAAACCAGAAACTCTGTGGATGAACCAAACTCAGCCTAAGGCTACATTTGCCTGGAAGGTTCTGCCTTGCCCTCAGCCCAGGCTTTGGACTGACCGAGACCCCAGTGAGGCCACCTTCATCTTTCTTTCTATGTTGAAATGGTATGTGTAAGTGTCCTTCTTACCACCTCTTGCAAATCAGTTTTCAGGGACCAATCTCAGGCCTAACGCCATGCTGACTGTTAGCAGATTCTCCCTGGTGAGTGGACCTGGAAATTCATAGGAATCAATCAGTGAGTCCATGAGCGAGAAGCCTGATTGTCATCAACCCATGTGGTTGCTAAGCTTTCTTCCAATTAGGAAAACGGATGATCCACTGACAATTGGACGAATGGTAGGATCAATAACAGCCTTGTGAAGTAACTTATTGCCTATCCATCCACACGCACCCAGCTATCCCAGTCATTTCAGCATCTAAGTCTCAGGTTCAGTTTGTTTAACTTTACAGATAAAAAAAGATTCTTCGGCTCTCAAATCCTGTTTGACTGTCAAAGCCCTTGCCTGATTCACAGCAGAGCAAAATACATTTCCTGCTTATTCCCAAAACGTGCTGTGTTTTACTGTTAAGCCCAGAGTAGAGCTTCCTGGAGCCAGCTAAGGATCTGAGGCTGACACCTGCATTCGTTTCTCGCTTCCCATTCGGAACAAAGCAAGGGAAATGGGCATGGGATAAATACACTTGCCATCCGAGTTAGCCCTACTTTAAAATGCCACAGTTCACAGAACAGCACTGTCTAAAGCCTCGGGAATCTAGCGCAGCTCCCATCACGGCCGCAAGCAATTCTGCCCTGATTGCTCTAACCTAGATGGCCGAGCATTTTGCTGTACAGGGAGAAACTAATGAGATGGAGAGCTCTCTGGGAGGGGAACCTGCTGGCCCTCTGCCTAATGCACCGTGCCTGGGACCTCTGAGAGCGGCACCTCCCGGATTGCCCACGTGCCTGGCTGCAGCAGGACATGCTTATGTGTCTGTCGGTGGCGATGGAGCGTAAGTGGGCTGTAAAATGGAACAGCAGGTGAAAGGAGACCCTGCAGGGCATCAGCTCGCCGGCTCCTCCTCTCAGCACACCAGATAGCAGCAGCATCCCTGGAAGAGCATTTATCTGCCTGGAGTGTACATCAGGAACCCAGCTGTGGAACAGAGCTAGGAAGGCCACAGCTGAGGACTCGGAGGCAGCGGCTTCAGGCTCATGTCGGAAGCTGAGAGCCGTTATGTTGTCCCAGTCATGTGAATCTTAGAGCAGCTGACCTGTGTTATCGCTGGCATTATCAAGATGAGTCCAGATGAGCAGAGCACCAGTGAACTGCTCTTCAGTAAACTTGGTCATTTAAGTTCAGAGGGGGAGACTAAAATAAATCAGAAGTCATTGCTGGTAGCATTTAGTCAGCTAAGTGGTGATCCAAGGAAAAAGGGAGAACAAGAGCTTAGAGCACTGTGAAAGTCTCCAGCAAAGACTAGGGGCTTCTATCTCATGGGCCCTGTCTGCTTCCTTGACGAAGGGTCCTACCGGTGACAAATGACTGAACCACAGCTGTGTTTGCCCTGTGCCTCATTTGGCATGTCTTCCCATCCAGCGGAGCTCTCTGTTGGAACATGGCAGGCTGGCAACATTGAATGGAGCAAACAGGATTTAAAAACCATATTCTCTCTGCTTTGATTGAGTCACCAGCCCTTTCCTGAGAAAGAGTCAGCAACACTCCCTGGCTCCATTCTAGTTACCGAATCCCACAGGACACAAAGTGAAAGGTTCTCCCAGCCCTGTCTCTCTCATGTTTCTGTCTGCTGGGCCATGAGACAAATAGAAATCTGGGGGCAAGCAGTTGTTGCCAGATTTGCTGCCGGTCCCATCTGGAGCACAGGGACTCTGTGAGAGAGGGTTCACTTGGCTTTACCAACTGTCTGTGTACCCAGCTTGCCTCTCTGGCCTCCACTGTGGGTACTAGGAAGACAGAGAAGCTTGCCTTTGGCAATTTGAACAAGAGAAGAATTACAGTCCTCTGTTTAAAGCGAGATATAAAATCAGTCAGCCCCAAACCACCCGCCAGCCACCCTGGGCTCTGCTGAGAAACTGAGGCACGGGCAGGCTTGTGTTGAGGCCGAAGCGGGTGGTTGAGGAAATCTCATCGCAAGCCCTGTCGAGGACAGCCACAGAGAGCAGTTGCGCAGCTTCCCACCTCAGCACCAGGCTCATGCCAGCTGCTGACAGAGACTCTAGGGAGTTCTGCTCTACCACAGCCTTTTCAGTCCTTGAGGTACCAGAATTCTGCCCAGTTCAGGAATTCTACTTCCTTCGTGAGCAGTGCTTTGATCTCTGCACTGGCTTCAGCCATGTGAGTCCAAAGCCAGCCTGGGCCAGGGACTCACAACAAGTAAAAATCATTCTTCCCGTGGGACTCCTAACAGCGGGAACAGGGGCCATCTCTGACTCTTTTGCTGGCTTTTGGGACCCTTTTCCTCATACTGGGCTGCCTCCACCAACCTTGATATAAGGGGAGGTGCCTAGTCTTACTGCAACTTGATGTGCCATGGCTGGTCGATATCCATGGGAGGTCTGCCATTTCTTGAGTAGAAATAGAGGAGTGGATGAGGATGGGGCAGAGGCAGTGTGGGGAGGGACTGGGAGGAGAGGAAACTGTGTTTAGGATGTAATAGGAATGGGAATCGGAATGGGAATGGGAATGGGAATAAAATCACTCCTGCCCAGGCTCTCCTGGAGGCTCCTGCATGCTTCATTCCCCTTCTGATTGAAGCTAAGAGGGGTTTTCCAGAGGATTCCCATGCACAGTACTTCTTAGCTGGAAGATGGAGATCATTACTAAAGCATTGGAAATATGATTATTGGAACTGTACATGGTTGTTGAGTGTGCTCTTGGCACAAAGTACTTACTGGGACTCAGCCGGCTGCCTCTCTGGTGCCGTCAAGGGCCTGTGATCAGCATGGACACATGATGACATCAGTAGGACAACAGTAGGGAGGGCGTGGTGCTTAATCTTGCTTGTCAGCTTGATGGAATTGACAATAACCTTGAAGAGAGATCTCTGGGCCAGGCTGAGAGGGCTAGGCGAGGTAGGAATACTGAATATGGGCAGCCCTTTCACATAGACTGTGGTCCTGGACCAAACAGCAATGAGAGAGCAAACTGAGCACAAGCAGTCATCGCCCCGTGCTCTCTGGCTGCTGATGCAATTTGACGTGAAGCTATCTCAAGCTCTTGGAGCTATGCCCGCCCCACTACGATGTCCCTTGGAATTATGAGCCACGATAAATTATTTCTTCCTGAAGTTTTTGTTGTCAGATGTTTTGGCTTTGTTTTGTTTTTTCATAGCAACAAAACAAGTAACTAATTAATATAGAAGAGAATCTGGGTAGCCAGATCAAAGGTAGTAAAAACCCTGCTTAGGGAACGGGGGTGGGGAGTGCATCTCATAGAGGGTGTCCTCTATCTCCTGGTGCCTGGAAAATGCCTGAATTGTTGCGTCTGCTGCAAGACACTGTCCATGAAGCAACAAGACGAATCACAAAATTCTTTCACAGAAAATAAAATGCTGTTAGCTTCAGTTCTCAGGTGAACCCACAGAAACAAAAGAATAAATGTTTGTTGGATGAATTAATAACTCTCCAAGCCTTTGTTCCTACATCCAACAAGAAACTGCCCTCAATACTGGCTTTGCCTCCTGAACCACAAATGAATTGATGTAAGAAGCAGAAGTGCCTTTATGCCTAGCCACGTGAGCCTGCTTCCTACACCATCCACACAGAAGAGCTGATGGTGAAATGCAGGTGGGTTTTGTGAGCCAGTGGTAAGCTGCTGATGCTTTGTAACCAACCGAAAACGGTTAGGCCATCCTCACACACTTGGCTTCATAGACATCTGGTTCTCTGTCACCTTCTGTATTCCAGTTTACCCCATATCTCTGGACTGCTTCTCCCTTGAAGCCCAGCCCTATCTCTCCACCTAGACAGTGAGGCAAGTTTCCCATGTTCCTTAGGAGGCTCAAGGGAGGAAATACGAGTCAAGTATAAGATGCAATGGCCAGGGCAGGAGGAAGTCTCACTAAGCGGACTCCTGTTTGTTTGTGTCTAGGCAGAGACACACCCTTTGCCAACATCTAAGGAAGATTGATTTAGAATGGTTGTTAAAAACATCTTTCTCCCCGAAACAAAGATGCTTACTATTCTAGCAGAGGCAATCTCAGTCTTCCCATGGCTATTTGAAGCACAGAGATCATTCCATACCCGGGGCTGTCAGCTTGGGATTCCAGAAAGTAAAACTCAAGTATACACTGAGTCATGCCACTTTGAAGTCCCGTGAGACTTGGTCACTTCAGAGAGCAGCCTGGACGGTCATCAGAAAAATCCTACAATGTGCTCTTTTATTTAAAAAAAAGAAAATGACCCATTCTCTGCTCGGCTGATGTCATCTTCAGACTTGTAGGCCCATCGCTCTCCCCTCTGGCTTCAGTGAAACTCCCTGGAAAGTAAAACATCACAGCTATTGTTGGTACTGCTAGTTGATCGAAACTGGGAACTTATTTTCTCACGGCCCTTAGAGGAACATAGCCATGTTTCTTCTTGAAATTGTGTGTTTTGGTCTATTCTAATATTCCAGGAAGACATCTGTTAATCAGTTTCCACTAAAATTCATCTTTTTGGCCATCCTGATTCACAGTAGTCAAGGTATGGAATCAATCCAAGTGTCCATCAGTGGATGAATGGATACATAAGAGTGATGGAATACTATACATCTTTTATAAAGATAAAAGTCTGACATTTGCAACAAAATGGCTGGAATTGACATACATTATGCTAAGGGAAACAAATAACTGAGATTTGGAAAGATACATACTATATATTCTCGCCGATAGGTGGAATCTAAAAAGGTTAAGAAATGTCTTTGTGAGCTGCTGCAATGGATGCTGACCACAGGGGATGATAACGTCTTGGGTGCTTAAAAAATCACTGAAATGTTAAGCATGCCTACCACAACAACACAATGAATTGGTGAAGTAACTGATTCGATAGCTCTCTGGATTGAACCTTCCTAATTCTGAAGGCTACATGGTTCTCCATGGTAAATTCGGAAATCGGTCTCTGTTCTAAAAGAAAGCATTTTCGCACTATGCATTTGTTCAAACGGGGCCTCGTGGGTCTACGTCAGTAATGGGATGAAGAAGAGAGGTACTTCTCGAGGACTTTTCTAGAAGGGCAGCAAGAATGAGCTGAAAATCTCTAGGACACTTATTTTGAAGATGAAACCATGGACTGAATTGTTCCCTACAGTATACAACAGTGGTGTCAGGTTGCCATTTTTCTTCGCCCTGAGGCCCTCCTCTGCTCTTCTGTCTTCCCCATAGCCACCCTGCTTCTCAGTGGTAAGGGAAACCCGACAGCCCTTTGCACTCAGGAGTACGTTTTCCTCTAGAGTCATCAGAAGGCTTGATTCGTTAAATGAATTGGAGACTGGGAGCTGCGCCATTACACCTTCAAATCTGTGACTCGTCAGTGAAGGGTGGCCTCTTCAGCTTCCCTGTCATCATTTGAAAAGCCAGGTTGAGTCCATGGGTGGCAGAAGCCACAGAGGCAGAGAAAAATAGCAAAGGGTCCAGGAGAAACATGTATTTTTCTAGTTAACTTCCTAGAGGGTAGAACTTGGGAACACTGATGGATTGAAATAGGTGAACGGTGAACCTAGACAGTGAGTTCACTGATGAGGGACATTGCCACGGCTAGCATAGCCAAAGGACTCCTCCACTTCCCCTCAGGTGGCACCCAGTGGAGACAGCGTGCTGCAACCCACCATACCAGCTGGCCCAGGGCGTGATCCCAGCTCCCACATCAAGGCAAGGCCTTTAAGCTTCACTTTATTTTTCACCTGTCCTGGTGTCTTTGTGCCATTTACTGAAGTCACTCTACCCCACCTACTTCGGTTGCCATCTCATTGTTGACGATGGTCACAATTACCTGAGAGGGGAGCCAAGGTAATCCC